GTCCTCGAAAGGGGAGGGGTGAGTTTTTCTGCCTCGGTTACCAGAAACTCGGGAAATATTCTTTTCCCCGAACGGATGTTCAGCGACTGGTTCAATTGTGAAATACCGGTCGCCGTTGGAATGAATATAATCAAGAGATAGAATGAATAGAGTTAAGAAGGACCGAAGGTCATCGTTTTCAGAGGAGAAAATTCCCCTCGTCTCGGAATGCTTCATTTGCACCGTAATTCTTAGCAAGCCAAATTTCAAGTAGCTTCCCTCTAAAACGCGAAGTCCGTGGAACGAGCTTCCTCGGGTAATTGGCGGTTTTTTGGCCCATTTGGGAGCCATCGTTTGCAGGCAGACAGGAAAGGGTCATTTGAATGTTTTTAATTTCCCAGTGGCCGCGGTACTCGAAGTTTTTTTCGACGGCTAATTACCTATTTGCACTGTATGTGCTCCGCTGCTGCTCAACGTTTATGGTATTAAACGTTGAAACGCATAAATTTGAAGAAACTACGAGATCATTGCATTCGATGTGCATGCAAATGTCTTACAAAGTGAAATGTAAAATCTAGCATAACGAATTTGATAACATCGTTGAATTGAAGAATCTAAATGAAATAATGAGGTAATGTAACATAAGATAATAGTATAACGAAATGATATAAAATAGGAAGGTAAAAAGATTATTCTAACCTGGTCGAGGTGGATTTCGCGATTCTGATTTGCGTCTCGAGGAAATCAATGTGTCAGTCGTTAGTAGTCTATCGGTGCGTCGTGATTCATTTTTTTCAGCAGTTTTTCGTCTAGCGGATTGGTTTTCGCTGTGGTTTCTTTTTAGAAGAAGAGTCGCAGACTACGGCGACAATGGCCATGCAATCTATTTGTGTTGTCCACAGCTTGTAGCGAGGGAGGCGGGATGGGCAGCTATTGTGACCGGAGTTAATGCATTCATAGCATCCCTCGACATGCACAATTGAGTCGGGTTTAATTGATGAGAGCAGAAATTGCAGCAGTCGCTTTTTATCTATGTTTCAGAGAGCTACGAAGAACGTGAAATAATTTAACCAGTGTTTCAGCCTGTTGTTTCTAATCCGATTAATTCGCCTCGCGTTTCGAAGTTTCAAAGTTCCCGAGTTTCGTCCCGATTTATTTGGAACTTTCATAAGATTCAACGTTGAATGGATCTCGCTGGAAAGTTAGTCGAATCGAATCAGATCCCGCCGAAAACGAAATTTAAATATTCTCTTTCATCTCGATTTACTTGAGAGTTTCAAAAAATCCAATCTTACACGAATCTCATGGCAGAGACAACCAAATGATAAAACAGAATAAACAAAATCGAAAAATCCCAAAATCTGCATCAATATATTCCTCTTCATCTCGATTGACTTGAGATTTCCGAGGGATTCAACCTTACATAGATCCCATCGCGAAGTTAATCAAATGAAATCAAAGAACACAATGAACAACAGAAAAATCCCAAAATTAGCATCAATATATTGTCCTCTCGATTCACTTGAAGTTTCCAAAAAATTTAATCTGATGTAAATCCCATCGTTAATCGAATACTCAAAGAACACAAGAAACAACCGAAAAATCCCAAAATCTGCATGAATATATATTTTTTCATCTCGATTCGCTTGAAGTTTCGAGAAAGTCGACATGATATAAACCCCATCGTGAATCTAATCGCTGATGTAGCTTCATCTAAGATTTTTCCCTTGGCAGAGCGGGCAACGATTCCCAAACGATCGATCCCCGGGATACAGGATAAAAGGAAGACTCTATCCAGTGTGCGTGACGTTCGTCACCGTTAACGGCCGTTGCCTCGCGATTGATGGATCGTTCGAGCGCACACAGAGAGTGGCCCGCTGTCTTCCGCCGGAGCGGAACTACGCGATCCGCGTTGTAGATACCCGCGACGCTTTAACATCGGATTCGTAAAGAGTAAATGTCTCCGTCGCGTCGGCTGTGTCGCCGGGACATTGAAAGGCATCGGAAACGGATATTCGATCGACAAGCGGCGATTCCGGGGATTAACGGGGTCGCGAGGTCCGAGCGATGATCGTCCGTAAAAATCCGTCGCGTCCGTAAACGGCGTGCCATTCCGTGTTCCGTCGATAAAACGGAAGCAAAACCGTGAGCAACGCGTAACTGACATCGCCGGCAAGACGATCGGCCGGAAATTTCGGGATTAAAAGCGATCCACGGGTCTTTATGCGCGAATTATGGGAGGTTCGTGTTGGTTCGACAGTTTGCGGATGAGGACCCCTTCACAGTAGGTTCACGGTACGAGTCAATTTGACTGATATCGAATTTTACGAGCATTACTCGACGAATCTCCGGGTCGATTTTGATTGATGCACTTATGGAAATGTGTACTTTAATCGTGTACCTTAAGCTTGCGATTTACAAGATCTAAGTGGACGAATACCGATCTTTTTATGTGCGATAGAACATAGTGTCAGTGGATGTCTGTGAGTCTAGTGTTAAAGCGTTCGATGTTGCAAGAGTTGGACTGTGTATCGAACTCCGAAATTCTGGAATGGAAGGAAATCATGAATTGAGTTGTTGAGGTTTGAATGATTGAATTATAATAAATTGATAAATATACACATTATTCGCGCGTAGAATAGAATGTTCTGAATAGGAAGGTGGAAACGTCACGCGACTGGACTTCTGAAAAGCGATCTTTTCATCCTTAGAATCTTTTCCAGATTACGCTCGACCAGGTTTATCATATTTAGATTCGCAGGTTAAAAGGATTCGAAAGGAGGAACATCTTCCAAGCGGAATCTTATGTTAACGCTTCCTTCCGCAGATATTTACGCGAATTGAAATATTCCGAGGCTAATCTGAATTTCTTTGCTCCATTGAAACCTTCTATCGTATTAAACCGTACACAATCATGGATGCTATAAATGTGTCAAATCGATTCAATGCTTCAAATAAACATGTAATCCCTTTCCATATTGCTCTAGATTAAAAGGGAATTTTCTGCCTTTAGCTTCCGTTAAAAACGTATTCCAGCCCCCGAAGGTTTCTAGATTAATTCAATAAAAATTCGTTATCCACTGAAGCGAACTGCTACTACCAATTCATTCCAAAATCAAATGTGCATTCACAGTAGAAAATTTTGTCCTCCATCTTGTCGGCAGTAAATCGTTGCACAGCGAAATAGCACGCCACGGTGTTAACGAAAAGAAATGTTTCAGACTAGATTTCACGATCGACAGGTTAAGAACATCTTGCGCACCCCAGAAAGAACGGGAAAAGCGGGGTCCACCGGAAGGGGATGGTTCCGAGGCGAACGATTCGTGGTTAGTTCGATTTTCCAGCGAAAACGGGTCAGGAACGGGGTCGACGGGCGTCTTAACCGGAAATCCGGCGTCCCGGGGATCCCCGCAAAGCCCTGTCCCGTCGTTTCTCGCTTTGGATCGCGCAAGTGACCCGCGTTTATCCCGCTGATACCTTTTTTTCCCCCTTCCGCCCCGTCCGTTTCCCCTGCCTGCAAACGATTTCGAGGTCGCGCCCGATTGATTCGTCCCCCGTGAAAAACGGTCCCCGTACGTTCCCCGACTGTCTCCCACGGGAATTTCCTCTCGACTTCAATTTCCTCCGCGCAATGCCCGCCACCTTTCGCGCGGAACCCTCTTAGAGGGTGGCCGGCGGGCGGACTTCACGCGTGCACCGCGTCCGGAATGATTAACCCTTTGTGGACGAGGATTTTTAGAGGCATTAAAAGATCTCACTCGGGAAAATTGTAGAGTGGACTTCTGAAGTAAATTTATTCGGATGGGTTAAGTCTCCGCGAGTGAGGATTTTCAGGGGCATTCAAAGAGTTCATTGTAGCAAACCGTACGGTGTATCTTTGAAATGAATTTGTTTGGAAGGGTTGTCTCTGCGGGTGAGGATTTTGCGGACATTGAAACACTTTGTTAGGATACTATAGGGTGTTTCTAAGTTTTTGGAATTTCCTTTGGGAGGATCATCTTTGGCTGAGGGTGTTTTAGAGGTGTTAGAACAGTTTGTTGTAGGAAACTATAGGGTGGTTTTTTGATATAAATTTATCCTCTGTTTAAAATCTCGTGTACCTTGGAATCCTCGAAATATTTTCTATTGATTTTACTGAATTCGTTTCTACGTTCGGTAAGCTAGATACTGAACTCTTGAATTTTGAAGGATAAAAAAGGAACTATCGATTTGAGTCGATTGAGTCTAAAACTGAACGAATTAGACGTCGATCTTTCGAATACTAAGTATAAAAAACTGTCGAATCACTGATATATTAGTGTTTACGCAATCAAATTCTGTGATAGCAACCCTCGGTTCTAAATCTCCAAACCTGACGCACCCAATAAGGCGACATTCCTCCCCAAAGGGTTGAAAAGTCGATTCGAACGCTGCCAGCCGTGAATAACGCTAGGTTCCGCCCTTCCGTTTCGCTGGATGTGCGAGGAATCTTCGGCGATTCTTCGGAAGAACAGGTATTAGACAATAGGAGTTAAAACGGACGAAGAACGGTGGCCGGCACGCGTGAATGCAACGGAATTCCTCGGCGAGGATCGGTCCCGTTCTCTTCGACGCGTGCTGGACGAATTCGGGAGGATAATGCTGTTGGGAGTCCTGCCAACTCTAAATAATACGATCGTCCTTCTTGCCGAGTTCTTCCGTTTTCCTTCTGGAGTTCGCTTTTCCCCTCGGTGGCGTCGATTGCCCTGGAACCGTTCGACTTAATCGAGGATTAGTCGATTGAACAACTAAGACTCCGAGACTGAGCACTCGCTCTCGATCGTTCGAGAAACAGTGTCTGCTAAATTGGAGACAATCTAGATATTCGAAATTCAGATATTCAATTCGATTTTCGATTTACATTTAAATTTATATTTAAAATCAAATGCGTAAATCCCGATATTAACCCTTTGCACTCGAAAGTTTTTCACTGGAAATATTCAACATTTTTGACACTGTTTGAAACTAATTCAACGATAATTCACAGATAAATTAAGCGACAAAGTAATTTTATTTAAATATTTCCTACAGCAATACAAAGTTTCATTTAAAATACTAAATATTCAATTTTATACTTTTGCTGTATGAAATCAAGCGGTGACTGAGGGTCACCTCTCGAGTGCAAAGGGTTAATAAAGGCGTCAAAGATATTACGCTAACTTTAATATCGGTAGATATCAAAGATACTAAAATATCAATAAAGAATTTCTCTCGACCCTTTCCTAGATTTGAGAATCATCTCGAGGAACTATCATTTCTATTTAAAAAATCTTTCTCCAGTTTTCCGATACACTTGTAATCTAAACCAACAAATCAAGCTTTCCAATTGTTCCTTCCAAAGTTTTCCTGCACAGTGCTTCGGGAGTATATTTAGCACCAGAAGGGTTGAACACCAGGAATATCTTCGATATTTTGTACCTAGTTCGAAGGATCACCTAGGTCCTAGATCTTTAGGGTTAATCGACTCCAGAAGTCGAGAGGAGATCCACCGATCCCCTGATCCTTGGGGCTCAGCCGAAAACAATGGAGAGAACTACTCGATGATGGTCTACAACCTTTGCAGTGTCGGTGGGGTCGGTTGGCTGTTGCCAATCGCGGGATTCATCGAATTCTGTGGTTCTCACTGAGAACATTTTTACGCGGCGACGCATACCGTGACTCTCTTCAACATCGAATCGGTTGGATTGCGTAACATCGTCGCATGTTGCTGTGGTTGGGATAGAGCATCGGTCGATCAACCCTTACGCTGCTGTAATCACTTCTTTGGGCAGTTGCGGTTTTCGAGAGAAATATTAGACTGTAGAATATAGAAGTTGAAACTATGAATATTTTTCTATTCGCTGCGGTGTTCAATTTCGAGAATCGTTACACTTTGAAAATAGCGTTACAGTTCGGAAAGAGAAATTGATTTTAAAAGTAGAAAATCTTTGTAAACGATAATGTAGATTAGACAATTGACTGAACGTGATTTTGTAATTAGTTAATGGATACAGCAGAAGAATATTTCATTTCGAAAGAACGTTGAACTCGTTTATTTTACAACCTAATGTTATTTAAAGCTCATTCAAGACTCGGGTACCGAATGTTCACGTAAATTCGATGTTTCGCGGCGTAAGGGTTCTGATTATGAGACCGATATTCCTTGTTTCAGTGGCAACGAGAGTTGTCTCCTTTTTGCAGTGTTGCACGCGCACAACGTGCGTCCTAGAATTTCCCTAACGACTTTTGATAAGCGCGACCCTCGATCAAAGGCAGTGTACACCGATGAGAACCTAGACGTTCGAGCGAAGGCCGCCTGCAACGGTTGCGAGTCGTGATCCTAATTAATTATGTTCATTGGGCTATCCTAACGATCCTTCAACAAACAACAAAAGCGTCGCGCCGCGATTCGATGGATGACCGAGTCGACGAACTTCTCAAGTTAAACGTTTTTGAGTTGTTCAATTTTCAAACTTCCGAACTTTCAAATTTTCCGATCAGATTTTCAAACTTTCATACGTTCACACTTTCAACCTTTGAAATTTGTATACTTTCAACATGTCAAGGTTTCACATTTTCTAATTTTCACTGGTTCAACCTATCAAAATTTCATATTTTCAAATTTTTACGCTTTCAACCATCCTAGTTTTGAAATTTTCGAATTTCGACATTTTCAATCTTTTAAATTCTCTGTTTCAACCTTGCAAATTTTGGTTCATCTTCAATCAAAGCTTCACATTTTCAAATTCTCACAGGTTCAACATTTCAAATTTTCGTATTTCCAAATTTTCACACTCTAAAGCTTCCAAGTTTAAAAATTTTCGAATTGTCACACTTTCAAACTTTCAATCTTTCGATCTTTCAAATTTCACTTACGAACTCCCAATTAAAGAATAAGTAAATTCCCCGTCGAAAGCAACGATCTCACCCCCGATTAAACTTCCCCATCCCTCTCCGCATAAACCTCGTTCATAAAACTCCTGGATCCCTTTTTACGACCCAGTATTCACAAAACAAGATTCCCTTTCTCGGAACTACTTGGAAAGCGATTCAAAGGAATCCCCGCGGACTGATTTTTACGATGCCCGATCTCTTTTTCAATTCTCCGTCTCCGTGAAAAAATTCCAGCGTCGATTGCACATTTCCCGTCGACTCGTTCACTGTTCGAAACTCGCGGCGCTCGGACTTTGCGATGCAAATATCGACGCGATCCGATGAAATTCGGCCTTGCCCGGCTCCTTTTCCGACAACGCATGGTCGCCGCATCGCGGAAAACCATCGAAGAGCCACGACAAAGCCCATGGAAAAGATCGGCCCCTAATTGAGCCGTTCATTTGTCGAATCGATGAAGTCCACCGAACGAGAACTAGAAAAATCATCGTTTAATCGATCTTAAGAACAACCTATTAATTCGATCAAAATTATTTAGTAGATACTATTCGTTACATCCTCTGACTCGAATCATTACCTAAATTACAATATAACAAACAATACGACACGATCGATGAAGCGACGAAACATTGTACACGCTTCAAATTTCTCGCGTTCAATTATGAATTCCAATCACTCTGGCTTCTAAAACAAATTGAAATTCGTATACCACCTGAAGAGGTCGTCGTTCGAAAAACTTCGACTTCGCAGAACAAAAACAATCCAGTGACTGAATATCAACTCATTTAATCTACGAAAATCACTAATCGAATTCATGAAAAATCTAACAAAGATTCTGAACGTGAACTCGATCGATCGCTGTGAACAGCTCAACCGGTAAATACACGTTTATAGAAAATGAACATCGTTCGCTACTAAAATACCATAGAAACCTGTGTTCCTCGTGTGACTGAATAAACAATACGCTATTTATGTGTGTTCATGTGTTCGTGTACGCGTCTACATACGTGTCACATGTACGTTAACACAATATATATATATATATTTATATATCTTCTATACATATATCAATATATTAATATATTTTATATATTACATTAATACTTAACCGTTTGGATGCTAAACAACTTTTGTGGATATTCACCAAAAATGCGGAAGTGATCGAGTCTATGCAAAGAAATAAGTTATCCAATGAGATCACAAATGTAGTGTTATTGCAAAAAAAATATCAAAAAATATATTCAAATAAATGTACGATTTATTTCTTGAAAAACATAGTAAGAAAATTATAATTGATAAACAGCGCCTCCGCGCTCTCCGCAATTTCGGCACAACGCGAGAGCGCTATAGCTCCTCAGCACTCAAACGGTTAATAACGACACAATATATATATCAATATATCAATATATTTATATTCAGATTTCACTCGGTAACCGCCGTGAACGTACGAGGCACGGCTCCCAAGACTAGATCGCGTTTTAACCCCTTATCTACTTGATTCCTCCGGTAACTCGTGTACCCGTTGGATTAACGTTAAGGCAAACTCACTGTTCTTCCTCACACGTTTCTCTCGTTTTTCCGTTCGTCGTCGTCGTCGTCATCATCCTCTTCGTCCTTTCCCTCTTCGATTTCTCCCTCCGTGATTTCGCCCCGTAAGTCGCTCGATATATTCATACTCGGAACACTCAGGCACTCGTTTTCGTTCGTTCGCTCGTTCGCACGTTCGCTCGCTCGCTCGCTCGCTCACAGAGATTGTTCATTGTACACGCAGTCACGCACTCGCACACTGTCCTCACGCGATCCCGTTCGTTGTTGATTCGTCCCGGATACGGGGGATGGGGGTGGAAGCTAACAGCGGCGGAACGTGCTTCCGGCGCGGGGGCGGAGGGTCCGTTCGCTCGGCGGGAATCGCACCCCTTCGATTCCGCTTCCCTTTCGTCCTGGAATCAAAGCGTTCGTTCGTTAGATTAATCAGTGTTTCTTTGTGCTCCCCCTTTCTTTCGGGCAACGGCACGTTGAATTTACGACAGCCTTTCAATGAATGATGGTCTCATATGGAATTAGTGTTACGTGAAATGTTGGTGGCGATCGATATTATAGTGTACGATGATATTAACGGTGTGTCGTCGACACTAGATTTACTGACATTTAGTGTACAGTTTGTTCTGTTAGAAAAATTGTTAATAATAATAATAATTTCGATCTTAGATGTTAGAGGCTTAAGGGTAGAGAATTAGGATACGATTACCAATGCTTGTAAAATTCAGTATGAGTCAGATTGGCTCGTTTCGTATATCTAGTGTTAATATAATATCGTTACTATATAATTAGGATTCAGATGGTGTTGATATTATTATTAGTATAATTATTAGTATAATATTATTAGTATATTAGTGTCTAACTAATCCACATTTCATGAAAGCTTATCCTCTCGGGACCTCAGAAATAGAAATTGAGCTACTATTATTCTAAATTAAACATCATTGACCTTTTAACGTAGTCATCATATAATACCACATAGTTTCGTTAACTGTTCTTCACATTCCACTATTAATATCTCGAGATCTTATCAATATTCTCCAGATAAAAGATATCAATGCTCATCTTCCATTGACAGTATCATTTACTTTTGTTACCAAGCTCGTGCGAAATGTTTCTATCAGCAGTTTAGAAGAAAACGCAAAAAGTTGTCCACTGCACTTTATATACAAATTTACTTTCAAGATAATGGTAATAACAAAATAGTTTCTTGCTTCGATCCATGTTTATTAAACTAATCCCGAAATCTTCATCACGAGTCTCACTCGTCGAACTTGACTCCTACGAGCAACGAACTCCATCTTTGCCAAGTGTGAGTCAAGTTGAATTGTTTCTATTCAGAATTCCCGCGTTAAACGGAACGTGAAAATATAATATGCATTTCTACGAGGGAATCGTAGACAAAAACTATTTTTCCCGGTGTTGACGAGCGGCGCGGCGCGGCGCGATGCGGCGCCGCTATATTTAAGTCCGCCGCAGGCAGGAGACAACGACGCGAATAGCTCGAAATTTTTCGGCGCGACCGGCTCGTTAGCGACCGGCTGAAAACCGTGGGCCACGCGTTCCAGCGGCTGCGAAAATAGCGGCGCGAATATAGGACATCGCCCGTTGTCCCGACACACCTTCCTGCGAGCCATTAAAACTCCGCCGCCCCTGTTGGACTCGTTCTTTCAGCGTTCTAACGCGGAAACTTTGAAAATTCGAAAGAAATTGCTCCATGTTCCATGCACCTGCACATTTAAGTTCACTTTGGAAGTGAAACTTACGGGACGCTTTTATTTTCGGGCTCGTTTAACGCTAGACGCCGCGAGCTTCTTGGCCAGCGGACTTAGAGGATCGGCTTACAAGCATTCTAGAGCCTGAGGTGAAGCCGTTGGCAATTAGAGGATTCGAAGAGTCTTTGTTTCTTTTTGCGAGGCAGTCGATAGTCTAGATCTAGCAGTTTCAAACTGTCACGTGAAGAAGCAGTAGATATTATAGTAATAAATAATAAATATTGAATATTCTTTGGATCTCGGAGATACTGAAGCTATGACGATTGAGGTAAACAGGTCATAAGATACATAAGTATTTTAGGGAACTATCAAGTTGGTTAGAATGGTTCATTGGACATTCTTTGAAGAAGCAATAGATATTACAGTAATAAATAATAAATATTGAATATTCTCTGGATCTCGGAGATACTGAAGTTATGACGATTGAGATAAACAGGATATAAGATACATAAGTATTTTAGGAAACTACCAAGTTGGTTAGAATGGTTCATTAGACATTCTTTGTTCCACAATTATCGAAATTGTAAAGATGTTTCTTGCAAACGGTGAGTCATTCATAGAGTAATCGAAGTAGCTTCTAGAAAGCTACATTCGAATTTTCTGTGAGAAGTTACGTATAAGTTGACACTAGAACTACCAGATGTCTCAAACTGACCAATTCCTAATTTCTTCTTTTAGAATGACTGCAAAGGTACAGATACTTCTGTATCACATTAGACAGTGTTGGCTCATTAGACGGTGTGTAGCATCAAATATGTGGCTCGTCAAGTGGTTTGGTAATTAGAGAACATTGCCACATAGTTGAGAATTAATTTACTTATTGATCATTTCAATATTTTTATCAATTTTGAGAATTTAGTCACCAAATGGGAAAGAGTGGAAATTACAGCGCCGGTGTAAACGTGTTAAAGAAGTTGATGTAGCAATACCTGAACTGAAATCTTAACACGTTCAATGCCATGGGGGTCACCGGTGAAACGATGATTATACGAAAACATTTCTATATTACAAATAATGCTACATAATACATTCAGCTAGATGAACGTGGAATAGTAATGCAATTCGATCAAATGATTTAATATCATATTTTTTCCGTTCTACGTATTTTCCTCTATGAAACCGTGCGTTGTTCAACGTGTTGACCCTTTGCACTCGGAAGTATACCGCTGGATGTATTTAACATTTTCTAACTAGACAAAGACGATGTTTTCTTAAACGAACTCAAAGAGACATCACAAGTGAATTGAGAAACAAAGCTTTTTCATCCCAATATTTCACACACCGATGCATTATACATAGTTCAATATTAACCCTTCCAAAGGTTCCTCTCAGTCACTCGATTGGTGCATCAAAATTGTAAAATTCCGTATTTAACATTAAGTCGTGAATAGATTCCACGTTAAGTTAGTTTAAAGAACTGTCATCTACATCTCATCGAAATAAATTGAATATTTCTAGTGACAAATCTTCAGAGTGCAAAGGGTTAAATATCAAATTTTATAGTTTCACTGCATCAAATCAGACTGAGAGTCACCTCTCGAGTGCAAAGGGTTAATAAATTCACGCTTGTAACTTTCACGAAGAAATGTAAGACGGTTCGAGTGCTAGTTCTAGTGTTAATTACTCGGTGGCTCCGATATCGAACTGTAACAGAAATTATAATCGTTTGTACTTGCCGAGAGAACGTTTCGTTGAGCACACGCCTTGGCGGACGCAAAGAGTTAAGATATACGCGCAGCAGCGGGTAGGCCGACGTTTCGCGCCTCTCGGGCTCCTTAGAAGCCCTCGATCACGCCGTAGGCCTCCAGGGTCGACATCACGAGGTAGAACACCCACAGGAAAAAAAGGATGCTGGATGTAACTATCTTCGGTACAAAAGGCCCGCCCAGCTCACCGCCGATGCTCTTCGTCCGCCTCAGCAGCAGCACCAGGATCACCAGGCAGGCTTCCGTGCAGAACAGCGTCACGGAGAACGCCAGGCTGCGGCAACAGACAATTGCATCTGATTATCGTTTCTCTCACCACTTGGACAATCCTCTGCATGCAGCAATTTTAACCCTTTGCGGACGGACGTCGACGTTTCGACAGGATGAGATTCCCATGTTTCGAAGATCAAGTCGCGAGCAGATGATCGAATTACTCGAACAGCAAGAGATCAGTACGCAGCTTCCCCTTTTTTATTATTTAAGCAATCGATGTATAATTTAGCTTCATCTGCTGGAGGTTATTCGTATTCCAAGGAATCTTCGTCCGCGAAAGGTTAACTTGTAATCAATTGCCGTATAGAAATTAGCGGAATAGTCTTAGAGTGGATGAAGGATTTAGGTATTTAGGCTTAAATTAATTTAGCCCTTTGAGGACGAATGTCGACAGTTTGCCGAGATCGATGTTCGTATTCGCAACGCTGAGTCGCAAACGAATGATTTAATTACTGAAACAGCAGATCAGTACGTAGTTTCGCTTTTCCAATTATCTAAGCAGTCGATATATAATTTGGCTTTACCTGCTGACGGTTTTCTATATTTTGAAGAATCTTGCGAACGAATGTCGACATTTTGGATGAAATGTTCGGATTTGAAACATGATGATTGATTGCTTAAGCGATTGATGTATAGTTTAGCTTCATCTGCCGAAGGCTCAGTGTATTTCAAAGATTCTTCGTCCGCAAAGGGTTGATCAGTTAATAGTCTTAGAGTAGACGAAGGTTGAATGCAGAGAATTTTTGGAAAATTTGCAGCAGTCATTGGATCGGGTTTATTAGTATTATATCAAACGTCTACCGATCTGTTTCATATCTAGGTTTGTCTGGAACGTCTACGTTATCAGTAACAGTTTATTAAACAAGAGGAAACTTAATCTTTGTCACAGATCCACGTGTTCTCTGTAAGATAAGTATTAACCCTTTGCACTCGAAAAGTGACTCTCAGTCACCGCTTGATTTGATACAGCAAAACCATGAAGTTGAATATTCGGTATTTTAAATTAAAATTATATCTTGCAATGTGAACTATTTAAATAAAATAGCTTCGTTGCTTAATTTATCTGTTATCGTTAAATTAATGTCGTTCAGACAATGTCGTCTGTATCTCATCAGAAAATGTCCGAATATTTCTATTGAGACACTTCCGAGTGCAAAGGGTTAACGCTTCACACTCGAAAATTTTCCACTAGAAATATTCAACGTTTTCTGATAAGATATAGGCGACGTTCTCCGAAGGCAATAAGAAAACTTACATAAATCAAGAAACGAATCTACTTTATTCCAATATTTCACGTATGCATTATACAAAGCTTAATATCATGAGCTTATAATTTCAGTACATCGAATCGAGTGATGAGAGTCACTTCCATAGTGCAAAGGGTGAACGCAAGGAGAACAAAGCAAGATTTCTCCTATAAAGTGAGATTTGTACAGCTAGTCTGAATGTAAAAGTATGTCTAGAGCGTTACGGGTCAAGCGAACTATCCCAAAGGTCAGCGAATCATCAAACAAATCCGTCGATCTCTGCACTTGGGACTCGTTGCACGATTATCTTCGGCAGTTCATAAACATGGCACGATTATTCGGTATCTGGAGCATTAAGTTGTCCGTTTATTGTGCAACGATCGGTGTCAACGAAGAAGTCCCCAGTTTATCAGACATTTTTTCAAATTCCGCGGATAACTTCCGGTACCAAGATCCTACAGAAATGGCGGCCGGGTCGGTTCGATCGATACATCCCGATGCAAACGATCGAGGACACGACGGCGCCATCTGGGTTTGCCAAGAGCAACTGCGATCGCGTTTGCCCGCGGAAGCATCTGTTGCAGCTCGAATGATGTATGGCTTTGCGACGGCGGATCAACGTCGGACAATCTCGCGCCGGGGATCAATCACGCCGATGCAGCTGACGCGTCAGCTCTTTTTTGTTCCTCTCGCTAAATAAACAGCCCCTGGACAACATCGCGTTCCACTGCGCTACGGCTTTTAGTGATCGAGCGTTGCCGATCAGGGCCCCATTTAGCTCAAATAGGTCCACTGTTCTGTTGTATAGCCGTTTAACAGGTGTCTGTGTTCGGTAAATTCTTCAGTTGTGTCGATGGACGGCAGATGGCAACGCTTACTGGTTAATGGAGGCAATCTGCTAGATTAGATTTGGAATACTTGGATAATTGAGTAACGGGTTCCTTCCAGTGTACTTGGTGGCGCGAGTTTAAGTGTTCCGAATTATACTCGAACGTGTTGTTGTCTTCGAAATGTTCTTTGGAAAGATTCGAAGATTCGGAGATTCGAAGACTTAAACACTCAAAGACTAAAAGACTCAAAGACTCCAGGACTCTAGGACTGAAGGACTCAAAGACTAAAAAACTCAAAGACTCAAAGACTCAAAGACTCAAAGATTCAAAGACTCAAAGACTCAAAGACTCAAAGACTCAAAGACTCAAAGACTCAAAGACTCAAAGACTCAAAGACTCAAAGACTCAAAGACTCAAAGACTCAAAGACTCAAAGACTCAAAGACTCAAAGACTCAAGGAATCAAGGAATCAAGGAATTAAAGATTCGAAGACTCGAAGACTCGAGGACCCAAGGACTCAAAGACTCAAGGAATCAAGGAATTAAAGATTCGAAGACTCGAAGACTCGAGGACCCAAGGACTCAAAGATTCAAGGGTTCGAAGACTCAAGAACTCAAGGACTCAGAGACTCAAGAACTCAAAGACTTAAAGAGTCAAAGACTCAAGGAATCAAGGACTTGAAGATTCAAGAACTCAAGAACTAAAGGACTCAAGGACTCGAGGGCTCAAGAACTCAAATACTCAGGAATTCAAGAACACAAAGACTCAAAGACTTAAAGATTCGAAGACTCAAGGACTCAAGAATTCAAAGACTCAAAGAGTCAAATCTACTCGTAAATAAATCAGTAACTCGCCTAAGACTAAACAGCAAGCTTCCATTATGACAACATCAACGAAACGATTTCCCCGAGAACCGGAAGCATCAATAAAACTGAACTTCCCCTCTTCCGCCTGGGCGCAGTTCAATCATTGCCCGCATCATCCCCACAGGCAGACCTCGTTCCGAAAACTGCTCCCTCGACCCAAAGACATCGAAAGACTGCGAAAGACACTAAATTCCCGTATACGCCTTGGGACACGCTTAAAACGTCTAATGGATAAGACGATTCTGTTCGCGACACGTTGACGCACAGCAGCGGCTCGGTGTTACGAGGATACGGGGGCGTGTTTCGGATAAGACGACCGAGATACGTTCTCCCCGGCTCGTGAAACTCATGCGAAGCCGGATCTCCCAGCAGCGAAGCCGGCAGCGGGGAAAATTGAGCGAGCCGTGGAAACGCGTCCGCGGTCTCTCTCGCATAGGAAACGGCTGATTACCCGGAGCTGAGCCACGCCGGCAGTCTGCGCCGCGTAAATATTCATCACCGAATCGCCGGGTCGCGAACTTTCCTTCCGGTTCCCGGCGGGAACAAGCGGATTCGACACGCGTACCGATTGGCCGGTCGCCGATAAAAACCGAATTACTATTCCGCGCGAGGCGTTCCCGCGGCTGGATCTTATCTAAGATGGATCACGCTGATCCGCCGCGACTTTCGATGGATATCTGTATACTTCCCAGAGTGTTTCGAGTTCTTTGGGATTGGTCCTCGGGGATAGACGTCGAGGAATGGATAGGGAAGTGGGGGATAACGTGGGAGTTCCAGATTAAAATAGAGATACGAGTAGGGGAATATGAAGATGAAATGAAGAATGGGGAAATGAGTATAAAGAGAAACTGGAAAATAGCGGAATAATATGGAAAATAGGGGATGATCGTGTGGAGAATTGGAGAATAGGAAAACATAATTACGAAATGGGAAACAATGAACCGCAAAGTTGGAAAATGGGAAATGTACAAAGGAAAATGTGGAAATGGGAAACTGGAGAAACAGGAAAATCGAGAATTGAAAATAAGTTCAAGTCAATTTTCCCGACACAATGGTAAAGCATTGTAATGTAAATAATTATACTCATACGACAATGCATCCCTTTGTGCACCCCTAAAAATTCTCTCCCGCTCTCTATACTTAACCGTTTGAGTGCTGAGGTATAGTAATTCTCTTACTATGCTCTTCAAGAAATAAATGAAAGTAAATTTATTTGAATAAATCTTATTTTCTGATATTTTTTTGTAATAACACAATATTTGTCATCTCACTAGACAACTACTCTTAATTTTTTTGCATACACGCCCAGTCGCTTCCGCATATTTGGTAAATATCCACAAAAGTTGTTTAGCCTCCAAACGGTTGAATAAAAAAACCTCCACGTCGTTCTACTCGAGAATAAAAGAAGCTTTCAGTCCCAGCGACGTCGAATCCGTCAGCAGCTCGTAATTCGATTTCCGTCGGAGCGTGACACTCGATCTTCCCGGCAACAATATTGCCTCGCAGTTCAAACTCTTCGAGAGGACCAGTCACCCGTCCCAATATCGGACGTCCAGGCGACGTATCGATATCGCGCGCATTATGCCCTGCAGAATATTCCTGCCGATACGTTGGGGATAACCGTTTCCAAACCGACGGGTAGTGTCGTCGTCGTTGGCCGCGTTCCGACGAACGGTGACGCGAAACCAGACCCAGCGTTTGCTAACCCTTTGTACTCGAAAGTTTTTCACTAGAAATATTCAACATTTTCCGACGAGATGTAGACGACATTTTTGGAAACTGACGTATCGAGAAAACAGACGTGAATTGACAAAAACTATCGGACGGGTCAAAATCACCCATTACTAGTTTCTTCTTTTAGAATGATTGAAAAGGCACAGATACTTGCTTCAGAAGTTATTGCGGAAACTGATTTAGTAGTACCTAAATTGATATATAATTGAAATCGTAGTAACTACACATTTGTGGCTTTCACGAAGAAATTTTCAGTTTAACACTAGAACTACCGAGTATTTAATACAATTAATATGTAATCCCTATACAACTTGTAACAATAGATTATTTTCAGTTTCTTCAGACATTCGTTGGAGTATACAAATGAAACTATTTATTTTCGAGATCATTTCAAATATTGAGTGTTTTTAAGATATCAATAATTGCGGAACAAAAGAATCGAAATCAGTCAAATGACCAATTCCTGATTTCCTCTTTTTATGATTATTAAAATGGTAACAGATGTTTCTGAGAAATAGTTAAAAGAATTGATTCAGCAATACTCAAGCTGAATTGTTGATCAATTCGAAGTCTCAGTAGGTGGATTTTTGGAGTTTGTATAGATTCATTTCAAAAAGTCAATTTAATCCTTATTCCTTATTATAATTTTTATTCCTTGTTACTGTTCGGTAGTTTTAGTGTTAAGGAACGAAGATACATTATTCCAATATTAACGCATTGTGCGAATTATAATATTAACCCCTGCTTTACGATTCATTTCTCAAGTATGATCGATACAACTATTTTGTAATCAATAATTTATTAAGAAAAAAAGATTCAGAGGCATATTCTATATCAATCTTTGCTGCAACGTATAATAATTGATAATAGAAGAATAATATTAAATTTGAATTGAAAGTAAACTAAATGGAAACTAAATTATATATTAATTGCTCAACCTCTTGCCTTATAACAACACGTGAGACTCGCGGTGAACATTTTAACTAGAACTTAACAAACATAAATATTACTTAATTTCTTCGAATTCAAATTGAACATTATTCTCCTGTTATCAATTATTATATTGCAGGACAAACGTGGACATAGAATATGCATAGAATTTTCCTCTTTTTTCAATAAATAATTACTGACAAAGTTGTACCGATCACAGTTGAGAGATAAATCATAGGGCAAGGGGTTAGATAATAGCAGAAACAGAAACCACATGCTAACCTCTTGTTGTCCGGGTAATTAAATCATTTGCCTGCTACTTAGTCTTCGAAATATGAAAACTTCATCTCACCGGAATGTCGACGTTCGTCCGCGAAGGGTTAAAATCTACGCTACGCGACACGTTATTGTAAGGCAAGGGGTTAAATGTCAGACTTCATGATTTCGCCGTATGAAATCGAAGGGTTAGAAGGTCGTTGACCCCTGTCCTGGAGGGTACTCCGGTGCTAGAGAAACTGCTAACGGGAAACGACAGCCAGTTATCGTCGCTGCGTCCGACTGATCCATCCGATATTGTTTCGTTTCCAGTCGTCCCGGTGTCTTATCCGATCCCGTCGCGACGAGACATCGCGGCACTGATAACTATCAAGAACTTTAAATCTACCTCCTGACGTTCCCGTGAAACATCAATCTTGCAGAAGAGCTCCGGACGTGATCGTCGAACTGCGATTCGTGAAAAGTGGGCTGCCAGATTTGAAAAAGTACTTCGACGGTTGTTTTATGATGAATTTCAGTGATAATCGGACACGACAAAATCTTGATTACCCGAATCAAGCGATCGGCAGGCCAGATAAACGAAGGAGACCGGTTAGTGGTAACGCGAGAAATTGTTTTCGAATATTGAAATTGAATGTTGGCACTCGAATTTTCCAGCGTATTCGTCAAGCTTGATTTTATCGGTCGGGACTCTGGACGATCTGGATCAAGGGAAACGAGGGCGCGACGCGACGGTGAAGTGTCCTCGACGTTGTTATAATAAATGTGAGTTCTGTGAAGCGCGTTAGAGTTCTCGCGAAACTCCGGGCGGAACGAGCGAGCGAGGAGTTGACGTCGAGCGTCGATCATCTTTCTCGAGGAAGTTCGAGAAGATAGTCGTCCGCGGAAGTTTTCTCGTTTTCGTATCGGTCTCCTCGCGAAAATCAACTTTGGAGGGCCCACGTGGCGGGCAGCTCTGTCTCTTTACGTTCGAATAAAAGAAAGAGTACCTCCGAAAGTTTCGATTAAGTTTCGAGGGTAGAAGGCGCTTCAAAGTGCGCGACAGGTTACCTAACGCGAAAATACGATAGGAAGGTAGAGATAAGATGGTGGAGGAAAGATTCTTAGGCGTTAAGGGAAAATTTAGGTATAGCGTGTTTCGAAGTCTGTCACATTCTAAAGGGGCGGAGCTAAGTGAGCTATGTGTATTTTGAAACATGCTGTACAAAGAGAATTAGTTGAAAAGTCAGGGGCAAGTAGCGCAAGACGCAATTTCAAGAATATTAAGATGAAGCTCCGATGTATAGGAGGTTCCGAAGTATATATTTCAACGATACAGGGGGTTCCATAGCTTACAATATTCTAAAGGGGCGGAGCCAAGTGACTCACGTATACTTTTAAACATACTGACTAAAGAATTTTTAAAAAGATTAAAATTCGTAGATATAAATAACAGAGATAAGGAATATTAAAATTAAATTCCAACGATACAGGGCGTTCCAGAGCTTACAATATTCTAAAGGGGCGGAGCCAAGTGACTCACGTATACTTTGAAACACGCGGTACAAAGAAGCATTGAAAACAGTAAGGCTGAATCGGTACTGACTTGCCGGGTTCCACTTCGAACCGCTCGCCATGGCAGGCATGGTAAATGGCTGCGATGCTCCACGCGATGCCGATCCCCAGGAAGACGTTCACCGCGTTACTTCCGGTCACGTTCCCCACGCTCGCATCGGCGTACTTGTCCTGGCAGGCGGCCACCTTGCTCGCGAACGTGTCTGCAATAAAAGTCACATGCTCAGATTTTCCCTTTGCAGCGGCCGCAACTATTTGCTTCCGTTTTGTCCCCCGGCTGCCTCTTTGTGTATCGATTTCTATGGACCAGTCTCCTGGCTTTCCTTTCAATTTCTGAGACTCTATGAGCTCCTTACAATAACATTCTCATTCAATAGCTGCACGATACTTAAAACTGATGACACCCAAACTTACACCTTCACCCTTCGCACTCGAAAGTTTAACTCGAAATATTTAACCCTTTGCACTCGGGAGGTGACTCTCAGTCACCACTTGATTTGATTTGAAAAATTCTGAAGTCTTATATATAATATTAAACTTTGCATCATGTACCAATACACGGAATATTGAAATAAAATAACTTTCCTTCTTAATTCATATGTTTTCTCATTAATTAGTTTTAAAGAACATCGTCCGTAGCTCATCGGAGAATATCGAATATTTCTAGCGATAAACTTTCGATTGCAAGGGGTTAATACTTTCCAATTAGATACAGACAAGGTTCTTTAACACCAGAACTACCAGAGACGTCAAAATTCAAAATTCTCTCTATAATTATTACAAGGATAACATAATTCTCGTCGAAATTACCGCAGAAATTGATTTACAGGCAAACTGAATGGCAAATCAATAGAAATTTCAACAGCACTGACGGAATTTCTACAGAAAATCCTCGAAAAGTCAATTCGACTATTCGTTATTTCCACTGTTAAAACGACTTAATCGATAAATTACGGAACAAGCTCAATGGTAACCAGCGGAGTACCATTCCGCAGTATCAAACGATCCGGCTGGGAGTCGCCTCTCGAGTACAAAGGGTTAATCCTCTATCCGACATGAATTAACGTCTACAAACCCTCGGCGCTGCAAGCTTCTACAATCCCGCCGATTAAACCTCAAAGACCTTTCATTATCCTTGTCAAGATGCACGCGTAACGCAACAATTTCAGCCGTCCCCGTGTTTTCCCGACTATCCAATACCAGAAACGTTACCTCCGTTGCGGCGGAGTGCAAAAGGTTAATTTCAAAGCTAAACCACTTCCCGCACGATCCGCCAAGCTCTCGTTCGTGGGGCCAGCGGCTTGACAATCGAACGCAATTACATTTCACCGGGGACCACTGGAAGAAGCCCGGACACAGTGCTCTCCGGTTACCCCCTGAGCCAAATTGAATGGTACTCCGGGACAATACGAGGGGCGATGGCCGGCCACGAACGCCTCCAGGAACAGAGGCACTGTACATCCTCGTTACACGATACTCGACCTTCCGTCCTCTGCCTTCCACCCCCCCCTCTTTCCGGGTTCGCTTTAGAGGCTAACGTACGACTGTTCGAACACCGTCCAGGCGTCCGTGGCACAGAGGGCTCGCCGTTCGGAGGTGTAGCGCTAAAGCTTGCGGCGCGCCGCGATTTGCGGCAACACCTTCGCACAACTCGAACACGTCGTCCGTGCCAGTTTGCAGTTTACGGTCAGCGGCTCGTCGCGTTTAACTAGGCGTGCAAATACGCCGAGCACTTGTTTCAGTAAAAGCTTCCGCGGTCGGTGTACTGTGGACGTTGTAGCCGTCCGCGCGGCGCGGCTGTCACCTTCAGGAGCAGATGAATTTTGAACGTTGGATTTTCTGAGGTTCGAGCAGTTCGGAGGAAGGTTTAGGTACTCGAGATTCGAGAGTAATTGTCGTCGAGTGCTATCTTTGGGAGTGTACAGTGGTAGTTTGATAAGATCTGGTAGCTTAAAGAACTGTAACTACAACTTTCGTTATCTTCAATCGGACGAGTTCGATTGATTTGGTTGGAAACTTTGTTTTTACAAACTGTATTCGATTGCGAATAATCTCAGTTTAAGGCTCGCTAAACGACAAAAGAAAGGATAAACAGAGTAAACGTTGCTAAGTGAAAAGTGGGAGATCTCCCTAAACAATTCAGTTTCAGTTTTCAATCGAACATCGAAGGTCTGTAAGTTTGGATGTGATTGGGCGTGTATGCAGAAAAATTAATAAGAGTACTTATCTAACGAGATCACAAATGTTGTGTTATTACAAAGAAATATCAAGAAATAACATGTATTCAAATAAATTTACTTTGATTTATTTCTCGAAGAACATAGTAGGAAAATTATAATTGATAAACAGAAGCGCTCTCCGCAATTTCGGCACAAAGCAAGAGCGCTATAGCGCCTCAGCACTCAAACGGTTAACCCTTTGCGGACGAATGTCGACACTTCGCCGAGATCTAACGTCGATGTTTGTAATATTAAGTAGCACACAAATGATTCAACTACTCGAACAGTAAGAGATCAGTACATAATTTCCTTATTCTGCATCATTTTGGCATTCGATGTGTGATTTGGCAGAATCTACAAAAGGCTTCGTACACTCTAGAGAATCGTCGTCCGCAAAGGGTCAATCTATGCGGATAATCAGTCCTCTAATACCTGTATCTAGTAGCTTAACACTTACCCTCCTAAAAAGAACTAACTACAACCTCTTTCATTATCTTCAATCGAACTTATTCAATCTGGTTAAAAATTCTGTTTCGTACAAATAGTCTCAGTTTGAGACCCACTGAACGACAAAAGAAAGGATAAACAGAGTAAAGGGCAATACGTTGAAAAGTGGGAGCTCTCCCCAAGCAATTCAGTGATTCATCGATTAGTGAAGTGAATCTATGTGGATAATCAGTCCTCTAATACCTGTAACTAACTGACTACCTCTTCCGCAACTCGGTCCTCCCAAATATTTACTAGTTCAGCAGCAGAATGCACTCGGATCGAATAAAAGCAGCCGCTGCCAATTCACTTTTCCCCGATGCACCGGGGGCCGTTCTCGCAAATACCATAACGCCGCTTGGCAAACGCATAAAGCTTGATCAAACGGACGTCCAGTGGCATTGCCAACAGCCCCGGAATAATGACACGCGGGAACGTGCGACGAACGCGTAATAACCGACCGCACGCAGCGTAAATTCGTTAGGCCGGGTCCGCGCGGCTGATCAAACCGCTCTTCATCAACGAGCGGCTCCGCAGCCCCGCCGCGGCGGCCGGATGTTATGGAACATCGGGACAACCGGCCAACTTCGGTGGACCGTTGCCCGGAAGAAACGGGATCGGGTTTCCGGGGGGAGGGAGCTCCGTCGCCGCGACATAAATTCCGAGCGGCGCGAACAACTTTCAGATTTACGGAAAGAAACTTACAGATAGCCACCCCCGGAACTTTTAAAACGGCACCACGGTTTTGTTTGCGTCTCCGGCCGCAACTTCGGCGTAACGGCGCTCCTTCCGCTCTTACCTCCGCGATTTGTCATCGCGCCGATACGATACTTTCGAGCTCGATGCGCTTCCCGTTTCCAGACCGGCATGCCAGCCGGCTCGGATCCGAGTTTAATTCGATGGTTACTGTTGTTCCACTAAATCTTGCTCCTGACCGCCTGATCCTGCGGCTAGTTCATTCAATTTGTTTTTTTGGAGCTGCTCGTGGTCTACTTTTGCTTCGACCCGTTTGATTTACGTAACTGCATCCTCGGGTTATCGGTGTTATCCGGTTTAACCCTGACGAATGTCGGCGTCTCGTTAGAGGAAATTTTCATATTTGGAATACTGAGTAGTTCCATTTTTTACTATTGAATTCGATGTATATGTTGCAAGCTTCGCGCACTTTAACCCTAATCACCACGTGTTGTAATGAATCGTAGTGACTCTGTCACTTGTGAGAATAAAATGAATGAGTAAAGTGTTACTCTTTTTGTTTATAGGGCTCACGTTCTAAAAGCCAAGAATTTTAGGAAATGCAATATGAAGTAATCAGAGAATTTAAGTAGAAAGTTCAAATGTGAAGTCCGTGGTCCGATTAGGGTTAGTGTTCGTCCGTAAAGGGTTAGTCTTTCTGTCTATTCTATTTTTCATAGAATTTTTATCTTCTGTTCTCTTAGTGTACCGTCTAGTTTCTTCGTTCATTAATGAACGTTGCTCTCAAACTTATTTACGTTTTACCCTTTACGCCTCGATATTCAATTTATCGTTCGCTTTGTCTACCTCACGGAAAGTCGATTAATCTCTTGTCGTAAATTAACTCCGCCGTTACTTTCAGTTAAGGAGAATATTGTTATTACTGTTAGCTACTCGCTGCAGGCATCAATAGGTTAGTACCTCCGTTTAATCGCGAGCTGCGCCGCGGCTCACGCCCCGCAGTTTCCGCTCGACGCCTCCAGTTATTGGCCATTGCGCCGACTAGAACGACTTGTGTATTTATGCGCGCGAGAACCGGCTGACGCGAACGCCGGAATGCCTTTAACTCGAGGTCGTATCGGCATCGCGCAGCTCGCGTGTACTCATGGATTAACCGTTTGCGGACGAATGTCGGCATTTTGCTGAGATCAAACTTCCACGTTTGTAATGCCCAGTTGTGAACAAATAATTTAACTGTTCGGACAACAAGAAATCAGTACACGGTTCCCTTATTCTCTATGATTTAACGCTATTCCTACCGCGACCAGTCAAATGACTGGTCTTTAGCACAACTTATATTTTTTAATATAGAATGAAGATAATAGCCAATTTGACAGTATACAAATATAGTTTCTTTTATTCAGAAGTATATAATTTACATTTTATTCGTCTTCACCGCACTTTTTACAAATAGGTTTGTCGATTGTACATTTCCCACACACGTACTTTTTACATTTTAGACAGATTTCGTTAGTCTCATTGTTCGTGCAATATCTTATTTGGCATGGTTTCCGTTCGCGTGAACCTCTACTTGTATTTGTGACGGGTGTTGCTTGATTTTCTTCGCCTAACTCTAGTTCTTTTTGATATTCAATGGCGAGTTCTTCTGCCAATTGAAAGAAAAATTCCTACCTCGAAATCTCTTCTCCCGTGGATTCTCTATATAAAATCCATGCATTTATCCCGGCTAAATCTAGGATACTGAAAAATACCTGTAAAGGCCATCTCCGACATTTAGATTTTACCGATTTTACCGAGGCCGA